CATCTAAATTTTTAATAAATGCAATTGCAAATAGTGGCAAATAGGATCAGTATCACTCGAACACCGGACATAATAGTATCGCAAAGGTAATTCTTGCGCAACACCAGAAGGTACCGACGCTATGGCCAAGTTCGCATTTTTGACAATTCGGCAATCAAAGTACGTGATTTCTGTGATTTAATAAAGGGATAATGGAATTTTATTCGTAGTTAATGTTTAAATCAAGAACAATAAAAGTATGATGAGAAAAGTGAAGTGAAGTGAAATATAATAGTGTATTAATAAAATAAAGTAGTGTGGATGAAGGTGCCATACAGTCGCCATTGATGTGGTAAGTCGATGACAACTATTTGAAATACATGCATTTATATATATATATATATATATATATATATATATATATATATATTAGGGTGGTCCTTAAAATAGTCATTTTCGAATTTCCTTGCTCCCAGGGGCTCAAATGGTTCCAAATAGATAAAAAACAATTCTCTGAAAGTTTCAGCTCTTAATATTAACGTTTAGATAGAGCGCAATTCAATCAAAGTTTGTATGGAAAGAGCATAGAAAAAATTTTGAAAATTAAAAAAAAATGTTTTAGGTATAACTTAGCGACAAATGAATGAGTTTTATTCATTCATTTGTTCGCTAAATTACATCTAAAAAACATTTTTAAAATTTTTGAAAATTTTTCCATGCTAGTTGCATACAAAACTTTGATTGAATTGCGCTCTATCTAAACGTTAATATTAAGAGCTAAAACTTTCAGGGAATTGTTTTTTATCTATTTGGAACCGTTTGAGCCCCTGGGAGCAAGGAAATTCGAAAATGACCATTTTAAGGACCACCCTAATATATATATATATATATATATATATATGGAATATTTTTGCAGCCAATCGTCGAATTAAAAAAAAGATTAAATAGGAAAATTATTTATGCCATTAAACGTTTCGACACTTGATGTGTGTCATCATTCAGTAATCAAACCAGGAAAAACAACAGAAAAAATTAATTAATGATGTAAAATTTATTGAACACTAAATTTGTGGAAAAGAATAATATACTAACATATTAATAACGAGGAATTAAAGGAGCACAAATTGTTCTCCTATATTTCATGTTTTTAATAGCGGTGCATTATGAACACTGTGTGGGCTGCAAAAAATATTCCAAATATGTATCAACGTCGACAAAACTATCATCATATACTAGTTAATTTAATATTTTCTGGATAATTATTATTATTTCTTCTCCTTTTTCCCTAAAAAAATATTTAATTTTCTGATTAATTTATTCGATGTTTCGCGCTTATGGAAAGTCCACTTCTTCAGTAACTCTTGATAACCAATATAGAAAAGAATGTTATACTATCATATATTTACTTAATTATTTTAAAATTCAACGATTTCACACTTCACCTTTATAACTAAACTTTTAGACAGTAAGGCAAAAAATCTTTCTTCCAACTAATTTTATTATATTCTTGACAAGAAAAAAGAATATATGGTGCGCTAAGCACTTATATACAATCCAATAAAATAAAATGTAAAGTTGATTGATAAAATGTATATGACTAATGTACTTGTATACAAATTCAAAAAATAAACAATAAAAAACTAAACTTGTTCCAAATCGAACATCGCAACAATTTTTTGAATGTTTGATTTGGAAAATGTTTAGTTATAAAGGTAAAAAGTGAATTCATTCAATTTTAAAATAATTAAGTATATAAATGAATTTTTTTAAATTATTTCTTATTATTAACGGTTCCTAAAGTAAGACACATTTCGTGTCCACGAACTTTGAATAAATTAATTGAAAATTACGAAAATGATTACAAAACTTTATATGCATAATCAATACTTCATTATGTACTTCTTAAATATATAAATCAAATAGATGTAAATTTTTATATTTTTTAATATTTCATTTCGTCGAAAAATCAAAAACATTGAATTTTAATTTCACATGCTTCAATATAAACACAAATAAGATATGTAGTCTATGAAATATGTAATGTAATATTACTTATGAAATGAATGAAGAATTACATTTCCAATGTTACAAGAAATAATTAGGACCAGGACAGGTTTTTTTTTTAAATTCATTTCGTGACAATTTAGCAAAATATAAAAAACACTTATAGCCAAAGATAAAACTGCAAACCCATGAATTCTGACTTTAGGTTTATATTTGTCAGATTGATTATAGACAAAATATTTTATAATACAAATATACGTATAGTTTTTCATAGATACATTTTTGACCAGAAATTCAAAATTCGTAATCAAATTAAATAAAGATTTAATTAACTTCCTCTATAAATAAAATTTTGGCTCATCGAATATTTAATTTGCTAATCTTCATAACATTATATAATATAAATCAATAGTGCGAGATTTAATATTTATAAGTTTCAATACATCTAGTGAGAAAGCACGACATATATTTTTTTTTAAACTTCATGAAATTTTGAGTTACATTTTCAAGGATATTTATTAAAAATACTTCAAAGACTATAATGCACTATAATCTGTTAATGTGCCCGAAGATTTATTTGAATCATTTCATATAGCAAAACTCTTTTCTAAGAATTTTAATCTATTAATTGAGTAAAATTTGTATCAGCTCTAGTTTAAAACTACATCAGTTTCCAGTATCAGTTTCCAGTTTAAAACTACAAATTACAAAATTTATCTATTTAATTGAAATTGAAATTCTTCATTTTTGGGTGAAATTCTGCCATTCGTAAATATTTACTAATCTTATTGTAAAGTGGTGCAAATAAAACAAGCATTTTTAATATAGAATTTTATATAAAAATCATAGTTGTCTACATAAGCAAATGCACAGCAAGACACACAACATAACAAAATAAAACATTCTTAATATATTGATTTTCCAATTAAAATTAACTAATTAATTCTTTGATGTGTTTAACACATTAACAAAATTAATTCAGTGTTTTTTTTTAATTATACAGTGCTGTCGAACTAAAGAACTTTATTACTAACAAAACAAAATTAATAATAGATATCACTACTTTAATTTGTTTTTAATTGTTCGAAGTACTGTACGGGCTTTAATATCGTTGTGATGTAAATAGATTAAATTATGAAAAAATAATCTTAGACTTATTATTTTTGGCTATTTTAAGCATTTTTATCAAAATTATAATTTTTGTCGTAAAATGTTTTTCTTTTAATAACAAATCTATCCAAAATTGATGTTATAGCTATTTTGATCTTGTAGTAGTATTAATTCTTATTTTAAAAAATATTTCAGTAGATTCTAGTTGATTTTCATAAATATTAGTGACTTAAATGAAATTCTTTAAAATATTGCAATATAAGATGTGTTATTATTATAGAACCCATATTAACCAGAAAATTATAAATTTTTGTGAATTATTTTCGCAAAATAAATGTCAATAAATAAAAGTGATTTTTTTCGAAATATTTGTAAATCATTGCAATTGGATGTAATTCTTTTTCCTTTAGATTCACTAACAAGTTGCAAAATCAGAAAATTTTAATTTTCTTATTGTAAACTATTAACCTTATGCATCAAACGGTTTTTCATTGTTCATTTTTCATTTTCAAAATCGGTTCAAAATTTTTTGTGTGAACTTGGACGAAAATCTTACGTTTTTCTCATTCCAAAGAAACGGCTCGGCCGATCGTCTTACAAACCGAATTAAGATTATTCCTTATCATCATTCCATCGAATCGCTTTTAAATTATAGAAATCTATACAAAATCGCTCGCATACATAATATTTCCAAATTTCGGTATCAACCGATTCAGAATGACTTGAAATGTCGAGAAAACATGAAATACGCAAATCGGATTTTCTGACAATGCAATGTTATCGGATCAAAGTTTATCCATTTTCACAACAAACAATTAAATTTTGATAAAAAAACTATTATCACAAATATATAATACATTTGGTTTGATCTGATATTTCATCACAATTATTTAAAACTATCACAAATATAATGTAAGCCATAAAATAAATAATAAACAAATAATAGTTTTAATTCTATAAGCATATTCAATAATCCTACAGAAATAATACGTCATCAGATTCTTAACAATAATTGCAGCTAAACTATGATAAACACATTAACTTATAAATTATGATAGAGATTTTACATAAATATATAAAATAAACTATAAATATTTAAAAACATAGTGCAGAATGATCATGCAAAAGTAAAACCTGATGCAATCATTATAATATAATTAATAATACACGGCATTATTTCTCATAACATTAAATCAATAAACTTTTTAAATTAATTATTTTGTGTAACTTTAAATTAGTTACCAATATAATAAAGTTACATTAATATTATGAGAAATGAAAAACTATAAATTTTAAAATTGTAATAATTTTGCATATTACCTACTCTAATTCTATATATGTAATCACAAAATTTCTTAATCAAAATGAGAATATTACTTAAATAAAACAAAAACAATAGGCACTTTGATAGAACTTAAATTGACTCTAAATTTTGTTACACCTAAATAAACTCATAACTTTATCTTTAATTTAGATGAGATTTTTGAAAAATAAGTTTACTTCAAATTTCGTATTTATATAGGCCAAATATCTGAATTACTATGCAAATATCAAACTCCAATAAATGACGATAAAATCATTTAATCACATGGTATTTTGATCGATCAAGTTGTTGCGCTGTTTGCAATTAAAAAAATTAATTTTAATCAAAATTTTTAATAAATTAATTTAATATTAACATTGTGTCTGGACCACAAGTATGATCCAGAAATATAGCTTGATATTTTATTCTCTCATCTAGATCAGTTCTAATATTTTTTTTATTTCCGAAATTTAAGCTAGTCTTTGGTGATTAATTTTACCATTTTGAAAACTTTAAATTTAGGAAATAAAAAATACACAAAATAAAAATAAACATGAAATAATGCGATAAAAATCTACAGATCAAGCATAAATAAAATTGTAAATCACTCGTGAAAACCATATACCTGATAACATTGCTGATGTATTGGCGCGGATTGAAGCCATTGTGGCTGGTGTAGATGATGGCCACTACTGGACCACTGACTTTGAAGTCTTCCACTACCCGATCCTGCAGTAATATGAGCGCACTCTTGACTACCCATTAAATCGTTAATATGGCAAGCATTTTGCATGGTGCTGGTCAAGTTTGTCCATTCTTGCTTCGCTAATTGGCTGGCAGCAGAATTACAACTTCTTTGCGGACTCTGTTGCAGAGATAGATACTTTTCTGTATCTTGAGGTAGAAAATTTTCTTTGGACATGTGTCTGTCAGATTGCTGCAAAGGGTGCAATCGATCTTGCTGTGCGGCAAGTCTTTCTTGATACTTTTCTTGGGCTAAAAGCCTTTCCTGATGTTGAATTTCGGCGTTATTTGATGCACAAGGACCCGTTTCTTCGATGTAACTTTCACCAAGTTCAGCCAAAGGTAGCGGAGGAAGTATTTGGGTTTGTTGGGCCATTTTATAGCTTTGTTGACGCAACATTTGTCTACGAGTCAGCGCCGTCATTTGATGTAATCCTGATTAGCAAAAAAAAATAGTATCTAAAAATTTGCACAATTTTTATAAATAGGTAATTGGCAATAAACGGTTATAATATAGATATTTCTAAGAGATTAGAAGCTTTTATTTGCGCTTCTTACCTGGTGGTATGATCATTTCTCCGGAAGTATTGGATAGTGCACATTGCTTTTGCAAAATTTGACGTTTTTGCTGCAAAAGGCGATGTTGCATCAACTGTTGTTGAAGAGGTGACTTGATGTCAAGGTTGCCAGCGTCTTGTGGATTCGTACTTTGGCCAGAATTACCGCAGCCCACATAAGCGAAACCTGATGATAAATTATTCCGATTCATAAGCATGATATTTTTACTAAGAAGAATAAATCTATTAAAAAGCTATCATTATTCATTGACTTACTCTCAGGGCTACATCCAAGAGAAGCGAATTGATCATGTTGCATTTGTCTTTGGTTCATTTCGTCGAGAGTAACAGATGTTTGGTATTGGGTTTTCAGCATTTTGGCTTCTCTTTGCACCAAATGCAGTTCAAATACTCCTCGTGTTTTGCAAGCTTCATTTAAGCGTCTGCTATCGAACGCGATATTCGTGCGGTCCGTTTGTGAAGTCACTTTTTGGGCCACCTATAAAATTCATTTAACAAGACTTTAATTAAAGAAAAAATATAAAAAATGATACTTGTTTGCGCAAGTTAAATTATCAATATGTAAACTAAATATTTAATTAAATAATAATATAAATATTTCGAAAATTATTTCGAAAGAGTTCAATAAAATTGCGTATATGGAAGCACCATGCATCTTCAAAAGAAATGATAAAAAACAAGGATAAAAATTAAAGTACAAGGAATGCAAATAAAATGGAAATTACAATCATAAAGAAATAAAAATAAAATAAGTAACCATTACATCCGAATCTCACCAGTCCATCACTAGCACGTCGGCCTTCTCTGAAATCTACTGGACTTCTCGATAGGTACGCCCTAGAACCGCCAACTCTGGTGGTGGCTCTCCTGGCCATTCCAGAGCGGTTGCATGAACTGTTTCGACTTGACGCGGCGTTTGCACCGCCGGCAGCACTCATTGGACGGATTTTGCTGCGTGCGCCTGACGGACATGGTGAACCGCAGGTTGTCGTACTGCTGCCGCTTTCGTTTATCGCGGGGTTAGACGCACAACTTGGCAACGAACCAGCTAATTCGCTGGGACAATCACCTGGATAATAAAAATAATAATCAATTTATTTAACAGTACCAAACACAGCTATACAATTATAGAAGAAAGAAATAAAACCTCAAACCACATCTGTGGTAAAAGTTTTCTGAAGTAACTATGAGAGGAATATGATAACCACCCCTTGTTTTTACAAAGAATAATAAGCATAACTTCATCTAAACTTCAAATGTTTTTATTTTACCTGGACAGTCACTAGACAATCGTCTTTCCAAACTGTCAAATGCTGATAATGTACTCCTCGACGATGCAGAATCACAGCTCAAAGATTTTGAATGATAGCCAACGGCGACTCCACTACTGGAACTTGAACTCGCATATGAACTTAATCTATGCACTCCGCAAGTGGAACCTAAAATTATTGGCTTATTAGTTATGCCATAGTTTACAACACAATCAAAACTAATAATTTAAACAACTAGTCGACAGTTTATTTTCTGCAATCCTTACCGTGACCATGGTGTCCTTGTTGATGACAACCACTTGAGTGATGATTATTATTTGCCTGATTGCCTCGTTCTTGGTCCTCCATATCAGTTTCACATCCTTCATCAGTTGATGAAGAACATTGCTGATGAAAGTCTGATGATTTATGTGAACGACTACTGCTATGTTGGGGCGAAGAAGTTGGATTAACCAAATCTTGACCCGCGTTCTGGAGAAATGCGTAGGCCTGAAAGAAAATACTGGATCAGACACATGATCAAATAAATTCCTTCACATTTTTCTTCTATAATAAGTAAACAAAAATCATTTTTACCTGTATGTGGTTCATATAATCTCTAAAAGGCGGTGTTGTGAGCGGTAAAGGACTTTGCCTTAGGGTGACTAATAATTTTGCAGCTTCCGCGCTCATTGTATAACCTGAGTTCATATTACAACTTATTTTGCCATCAGTGCCACTGCTACATAATCTTCTAGTCTTCGAATCGAAGCTATTTGATGTCAATAAAGGCAGTCTTGTAGAACTATCAGCAGAAGTATTCTGCACTGGCGATGGCCTTGTATTATATTGTTGATTCGCGGACTGGTGTTGCTGATTTGATGATTGTTGATTTTGTTGATGGTGAAGGTGATAATCGCCTAAACTAGCGTGCTGAGCAGCTCTACTTAAATGGGGAGAATGAACTTGATGTCGTGGGCTGTGATGTTCAGAAGATAACCTGAAAATATAAATTATTCCAGTAAATCAAAACTATAAAATATTTTATATCATTCTTAGGACATAAAATTCCGTACCTGACAGGTGAAGCATCAACACTTCCAGCAGGAGTCCTTCTCATCGCTTGTTCGGCAACTGATGATGGTCTCCTGGTTTCACCAGTTTTGTTATCTCCAGATATATTAGCATTAGTTCCTAACATAATTTGAAGCTGGTGGGCTGAGTCATTCGATTTAGAACGCTCAGTGGATGTACTTCCAAATTGTTGCTGAAGTACGTAGGACTGCGTTGGCGAATGAGATCTACTACCCACTCCTATAATATAAAATAATTTTATACCTTAGCTAATTTTACTTAAATTTCGATTAATACCGAATATAATAATTAACACACCTCCTTGAGCTAATGGACTATGAGGCCGACTATCACAGGACAACGATCGTTGTTGGCGAAGCCTTTCCAAAAGTAATAAATATATTGCTGCGTGATGATCATAACTATTAAGTTTCAGACTCTGAAATAAATAATTTATAGTAATGATAATTTTTCATAATCAATGTAGACATTAAATTGTTGAACTGAATTTTCTGTGTAGAATAAAATGTCTGTATATAATTTATCATCTGACCTCTTTGGTTTTTGCTTGATCAATTCCTAAGCTTTGCATCAGTCGTAATATTTGTTCATTTGGTTCTGCGCACTGACTATTGGGCCTGATGTTGGCCTGGGCTGCTGCTGATAGATCTCCAGCACTGGAATATTGAGGATCATTATACTGGTGCTGCTGGAGCCATCTGTGCTTCCTGATTTGTTCGGCCGTGTATCGACGCGTTGGTTCCAATACGAGCATTTTTCGGATGAGGGATTCACAATCTGAAAAGAGGAGAAAAAAATCTCAATCAGAATGTAGTAGAATGAGTATTCGGTAAACCTAGTCACACTCCAGAGGATTTTGATGGTCACAGAAAATTATATTATCCTATATTTTAATTAATAATTAACTGTTGAAATACTATGGAACAGAATATAAGTAAAAGATTTTATTATAAGCAGATTGATATTCAGCATCCTAAGTTGTTACAAAAGAGATGGAGAATTTTTATAGTCAAGAATAATTGTAGTATTTTATATTAGTACAAGAAATTAATTGCTATGTTCCTCATACTCAGTTGTGATTTTAATTGCATTCATGGTCGTTATAACGTAAAACTTATACTTGATTATTTAATTTCCTAAGTGTTGATCTTTAAAAATAGTTGAATGAATTAGTATTTTGAATACTACAGTGGTCCAATAGGTTCTTGAATCGTATTTTTTTTAATTATGCGTATACGTTAAATGTTTTAAATATATCTATTCAATTCTAATAAATATATAATCATGTATATATATAAATATATTGAAAAGGCAATAAAACCAGAATTAGAATCAATATAAAATATAATCTGAGGTGTTAACCATCTCATTGCCAGCTATTTAGAAGTCGCCCACGAACGACTCCTACATCTTCTAAATGCTAATTTTAAACATTAAACGCATTTCTTATCGGGCGAGAAATGAGATAAAATCTTTTGTTGTCACAAAATGAATATGATAACATTCAAAAGCGTAGAAATGCTTCTTATTACGTCTGCGGTATTTTTAATCACGATATTTCATCTTGATTTAATTAAAATCCGCTTTATTCAAATGATACATAAAAAAATATTAAAAAAATAAAAAACTGAGATATATAGAAATAATGAGTTTTTTAAGTTATACAGACACAATCAACTTTAAAATTATGTCACCATTATTTTCTTCACAAGAAAATAATTTTCTAGTTTATTACTTTCGAAACTTTTAGGTTCTTCACGATCTGAAAACACATTATAATCTCTAGAAAACGTGCTAAAATATAATAATACTTTGAATTCGTGTTTTCGCACTTCCAAAATTTAATATTTTTCCTTTTTATCAAAGTTTGTGAGCAGACGGCCTCTGGAATGATATTCCCTCCAAAGTGTCGTAAGAAGTTGGATCATTAGCGACTATGAAATTCGTGTCGGTGTGCGTAATGGGAAACTTTCCTAAAAGTTTTAGACCGTTATGCGAAATCGGCCATGTGCTAACAGTAGTTTTTATCATTCAAATTTGGAAGAGATAATAATAAGAGAAGTTGGGGAAAACATTACTATAAAACTTGGAACTTTTTTTTACAAAAAAAAAACAAGAAGTTCTCGCAATTTATTTTCAATATCATAATTTTCTACCGGTAAAATGCATTTTTGCAGTTATCTTTGACTATTTTATGTATGTCACCATCAAGGTTATATTCAACTCTAATAATATTTAATAATTATTTATGATTCGTGTGAAATAAATTTTTCTCTATTTCCAATATCATATGACTTTTTAACTATGATCCAGTAAAACCAACTTTTCACTAATTCGACACCCTTTGGTTTTTAATAGTGTCAGATTAGCAAGATTCTACTGTATTTATAAATCTAATCTAAAAACATTCTTTTAGGCAAATGATTGGCAATGCTCTGTGATGCAAGGATAAAGATCCATTTTGGCAATATTGATATCACTATTTGATCGTATTACTAAAAACTATGGTTAATATGATTTGCTATTAATCAATAGTTTTTAATGTAGGTAATAGTTTGAATTAAAAATATTTTTAAGCATTAATTCAATTAATTAATTAAAGCACTAAATTTATTTCTCTTCTTCCACCATAATTGTTATAAAAATCATTCAATTTATTGTATTCGATAATTTTGTTCCGATGTCATTTTCCACGAATCTGCAGATTTTTCAATATTATCTTAGTTTCAGTTTACAATTACGCAGTAATATTTTTCTCTAATGATTTGTTACAAGCTAAACTACGTTGTAGTGAAGTCTGAGATTTTCATCATTATCTACAACAACCTAATTAGGCGTCTTAAAAAGAAAATTATTTTAAGTTTCATTTAATATATAATTTATTCAAATTAAGAAAAATTATATAAAATATTGTAATCTGTCTAGAATGAAGCTTCCACTTTATGCGGATTTTATAAGCCAATCTAAAAATCTATAAAAAAAATTATTGATGTAAAAGCTGATTTAAGGATCTTCTTAAGCACAAAAATTTATGATTCGAATGTCTTAATTCGTAATTGATCGAATATATGCAACGATCGAATACATTCAATGCGTACAATTGGGCGACGCTTAAAGTGCTTTCAAGGTGTTTCATTAGTAAATAAATGAAAATGTAACAAAAACAAGGCAGTAATTGAGGTATAAAATTAAAACGATGGAATACAAAGAAGCAATCAAATTGTAACTTGAACATATATTATTTAATTGAAGAAAATCAAATTGTATCAAGTAGATTTTTTTTTGCATTTTGCAAATGAGTCATATTGATCTACAAAAACTAACTACTTATTTTCATTTTTTAGTTTGTTTCGATAAATTGCTTAATCCTTTTATTTAAATTTAGATATATGCGTCTGTAAATAACTTAATTGAGTTGCAATTAAGGTTTTTAAAGCCACTTGTATATAAACTGCTAACGGGATTCATTAACATCCTTCATAACTTTCGTATCGTTACCAACTAATATTAAATTACCAGCAAAATAATTATTATTTGATACTCGGGGGCATAATTTAATTTAGAAAATTATAATGAAATACAGTTGTTACACTACAAGTTTGCAATATTAAGATGAAGTAAGAAATATATATATATATATATATATATATATGTATGTATATATATATATATATGTATGTATATATATATATATGTATGTATATATATATATATATATATATATATATATATATATATATATATATTAAACCCTGAGCATAATCCTAATCGTAAGGATGTTGAACTTTCATATGGTTTAACTTTTTTATTAATTTTTAGTATTTTAAAAATGTGTATGCAATATATAATTTGTAGACTAGGAAATTTGTAGATAAGCGAAATATTCTGATTACTTAACTGTGAAAAATACGAAGCTTTACATGCACTACTGCTTGATGAATATTTTTAACAATAGATGCGACTTATGTGTTTCTCATAAATATTTCATTTAATATTTTTGTAGAATGTAGAAATCATTTCAACGCAGATTGTATAGAAACTCGAGCAGTTCGTATCTTCCTCTACTCTAGACATTTTATTTCTATTTCCGAACACTATGAAAACAAACTTACTAGTTTTTCGAACATGATCAAACTATATGGTCATGAACTACGGAGAAACTGACTGAAACAAAGTCCGGTCCAAAAAGAAAAGAATCAAGTTTGGTCATTGCAAAAGTACTAAAAACTCTTTTAGAAAACTTTAAGGAAAATCCTTTCGTCTGCGAAAATGTTGGGAATGAACCGCTTACTCGTACGAGGATCGGTAAAACATACATTTTTGAAGTTGTTTTTTGTACAAAATATTCTGACTTATTTTAGAAAAAAAGTCTGTTTTTAATATAAATCCTGCAAAAAAAAATTAGTTGTGATGGGACAGAAACAAAATTCTGAGTTTTCATATTGTCAACTTAATTAGAATTAATAATATAATTTCTTCAAAGTAACTAATAAAAATGCAACTAGAAATATATCATCATCCTACCAAATAGTAAATTAGTACCAAAACCAATAATTAAAATGTAAAATCAATAAGTTTTTCATACTTGCAACATGATTTTTATAAACCTTCAGTTTCTAAGCAATAGTTCTATAATTTAAAATAATTAACAGCAATTTACTGTGTAAGAAAAAAGAAGAAAGACGTTCAAGGTTGGTCTGAGTATTATGATGCCAAAACTAATTTCTAGAATATAAGGACGAAAATTTTGATATAAAAGCTGCACCATGTTCTGGAAAGTCGGATGAACAGAAGTTAAAGTTAAAATAATAAATAAGTTGAAAGCCGAATTGTCTAAGGATAAGGGACAAGAAGGGAACTTTTTTGGGCTCACTTATTTAGAGCATTTATCCACCTCTACAATCCTATTCTATCTAATGCTCTTTTTCTGCTCTTCACAACTGATTTCTTAACTGATTTTCTCCTGCATCTGATCTTGCCCAATTATAATCTTGCTTTACATCTTACTATTTATTTTTTATATTATATTCTGTACTATCTTTATATTTATTCTAACCATTCTTCTTTTTTTCTTCATTTTTATCCATATTCTTTTTTTTTCATTTAAAACTAATTCCTTCATTCTTCTTTTAAATCTGATCTTTCCCAATTCTAATTTTGATTATTGAATATTAAGATAGTTGAATTTTTTTTTGCCTCACTTATTTAGAGCATTTATCCACCTCTACAATATTTCATTTTTATATTCTATACTATCATTTAATTTAATTTTTTTTTGTAATTTAAAAATTTGCTTTATTTGACTTAAATACATACTTTGATTTTTACATAAAGATACAAATTGTATACATCTATTCTGGGAATAGCATTATACTATCATAATATAATATTGTTTATATATATATATATATATATATATATATATATATATATTTGTTTGAATTAACTTATATAAGTATGAAAAGAGCTATTAAAAACATACTGCCAGTCATTTTATTTAAATCCTATCCTATCCAATGTTTTTTTTTGCTTTTCACAACTGATATCTTCATAACTGATTTTCTCCTGAATCTGGTCTTCTCCAATTCTAATCTTGATCTACTTCTTGCTATTTATTTATTATATTATATTCTATATCATCTTTTTATTATCATTATTTTTTTAATTTATTTGACTTCGTTATACCACATTATCTCTTTATTTATAACCTATTCATTCTATCCATTCTTTTTTTCTTCTTCATTTAAATAATAAAGAAATAATATCTATTATTATTG